TATATATCACATCCTTTTAAGCCAATCATCTGTTGATGGGCGCTTGGGTTGTTTCCATGTCTTGGCTGTTTGTATATTTTGGATATTAACCCCTTGTTGGTTGCATTGTTTGAAAATATTTTCTCCCATTCAGTAGGTTGTCTTTTTGTTTTGTTGATGGTTTCCATTGCTGTGCATAAGCTTTTAAGTTTGATTAGGTCCCATTTGTTTATTTTTGCTTTTATTTCTTTTGCCTTGGGAGACTGATCTAAGAATATATTACTACAATTTATGTCAAAGAATGTTTCGCCTATGTTTTTTTCTAGGAGTTTTATGGTGTCATGTTTTACATTTAGGTTTTTAAACGATTTTGAGTTTATTTTTGTATACGGTGTGAGGGAGTTTTCTAATTTCATTGATTTACATGTGGCTGTCCAGCTTTCCCAACATCACTTGTTGAAGAGACTGTCTTTTCTCCATTGTATATTCTTGCCTCCTTTGTCATATATTAATTGGCCATAGGTGTGTGGGTTTATTTCTGGGCTCTCCATTCTGTTCCATTGATCTATGTGTCTGTTTTTGTGCCAGTACCATGGTGTTTTGATTACTGTGCCTGACAAAAGAACCTTTGATTTTTCAAAAGAAAAAAAAAAAGATTTGTACGTGACAGTTAACTAACCATCTATTACCCTTGCTTTCGTTTTGATGTCAAACTCCTTTAAATTGTACTCTACGTTTATTGCCAACTTATTTTATTTTTCTTCCTCCCATTTTCTCTACGATCCCTTGAATATGACTCCTCCCTTACAAAACACTTTTTTACTTCAGTAGGGACTTACCAAACAGCACATCCAGGTCTCAGTCTTCTTTATTTCTTCTTCGTACTTCTTTACACAGTTGGCTGCTTTCTCTTTCTTGAATTTCTCTCCTCTCTTGGTTTCCGTAATCTGCAGTCTTTGGAATTTTCTCCTCTCTCTCCAACTGCTCCTTCTCTGTCTTGTTTGCTGACTTTTCTTCTCCCCACTCCTCAAGGTGTAGTTGTTGCCCAAAGCCCGGTTCTTAGCACTCTTGAATTCTCACTTTACCCTTTATACCTTTATGATCTCCTCTACTCTCATGGATTCAACCATCATCCCTTCACACTCATGATTTACAAATCTATGTCTTTATCTCTGCTGTCTCTCCTGAATGCCAGGATCATGTTTCTAAGCGTTCATTGAGTTGCACATGAATCTCAGATTCAACGTGTGTAACCCCCACTATTTGTTTACCACCACAAGTCAGTGTTCCCTAAATTGCATAATGGCATCACTGTCCTTCAGTCGTCCTGCTTAAAACTTCAGAGCTGTTCAACACTCTTCCCTCTAATCATCTTCAAATCCATGAGTGCTCTGACTCTCCCCTTCGTCCAGTTCCCCTTGCCAGGCCCTCATTTGGGCTTACTTTTACAACTTACTATTACAACAAACTCCTACTTGATTCCTAACTTTAGCTTCCACCTATCTCCTTTCCTACCCCCTGCAGCCTGTGTTACTTTCCCAAAATATGCATGGGTTTATGTAACTTCTTTGCTGGAAATATCTCCTGGTTCCCCCTTACATATCTAATAAATACCTGCCAGTTTTGCACAGCACGGCCACATCTTGATTCCTTCCCTTTCAACCTCATGTCCTACGATACTCCAATCTCCCAGCATGCACAGTCTATGGATCCCTGGACATACCTGTCTGCTCCCAGCCTAGGGCCTTGGCTCAAGTCTTTTCTGCTTGGGCTCTGTACTATATTGAATTCCTAACCATCCTCTCTATCCAGGCTCAATTCTCACTCCTAGCTAGTGAATTGGGTAAGAATCTCTGAATCAGAGGTAGTTTTCATCAATAACATGAAAATAACAATACATATAATAGCAATAGCTCTCATGGCTCAAGTACTTACCTACTGTGCCAGGCACTGTTCTACATGTTTTACATGTATACATTCTTGTGTTCTTCCCAATAACTCCTCACCTGACATCTTCATGTCAGTGCGGACGTGGATACAGACTGACCTCACTCTTGATCCCTTTACTTGAGCGTCAGCTGATGTTGGTTGAGTGCTCACCATGGGCCTTATCTTTTTTTTTTTTTTTTTTTTTTTTTGCGGTACGCGGGCCTCTCACTGTTGTGGCCTCTCCCGTTGCGGAGCACAGGCTCCGGATGCGCAGGCTCAGCGGCCATGGCTTACGGTCCCAGCTGCTCCGCGGCATGTGGGACCTGCCCGGACCAGGGCACGAACCCGTGTCCCCTGAATCGGCAGGCGGACTCTCAACCACTGCGCCACCAGGGAAGCCCATGGGCCTTATCTTTATTATGTTATTTAAACCTCACAACACCGTAAGGCAGGTACCATCATGATATCCATTCTACAGATGTGGCAATTGAGGCACAGAGGGAGGTCAGCCAACTTGCCCAGGGTCACAGAGTGAGTAAATGGTGGGGCTGGGCGATCTGCCTCCATAATTTGTGGCTTCCTTCTCTGGTGTGGGCTGATCTGCCTCTCGAGACTGAGAACCCACAGCACGATGGCTGGGTCAGGCATTGTGACATTCCCCACATCGCCTGGCACAGGGCCCTGTATACCAGCAGCTGACATAGGCTTACTGACTGATGCTCACAGGTACAAAAAGCGGCAGGAGGGACATTATTTTCACAGGAAAACATCCTGTCCTCGTTGAGAACCACCAGAGGATAACCATCTCCCCTCTTACAGACCCTCATGAGTACATAAATAAATAGAAAGTGACTGAAGTGGTGAATATAAAGCAGTGTGGTGTGGTCATCTGTAAAGTTTTATTAGAAATATTCAATCCCAAAGTGTTACTGCCCATGATGTAAGTAACCGCTACTCCCAAAGACAAGCTTCCAAAGAGCACATCAGTGATGCGTGCACAAATCTCACGTCACCTCTTCTCCTCCACACCTGCACTAAATTGTCATTAAGAATGAGACATTTAAAGAATTTATAAATGGAATTAATTAATGACAAAAAATGATTAATGTCCTCCAGGGTAAAGGTACCTAAGAGGCTGCTTAATCAAATCCCCTTGTCCCCTCAAAGGCAGGTTGGCTGACACAGCAGCCCAGGCTCTGTCTACCAGCTCCTCCTTCTCTGTTCCAACTCACTGGTGGACGAGGGGCCACATCTGAAAGTGCAGTGAGTGGAACCACTTCATCATCAGGGCAGGGCAGGGCTTGTCTATGAATGAGGTTGAGCCATTCCACCCTGGTGTAATTTCTTTTAAAAAGGGGATGATGATAATGATGATTGTGAAGGTAGAAATAGGATAAGTCATGTACAATGTCAAGCACAGGACCCATGGTTAGAAGCTATTCTTAATATTCAGGATATTAACACGCCCCTGGGGACCTGTAAACACCTCTTGAAGAACCATAAAACCCTCAATCTGGCCTGGCTTTCATTTGGCCCTTCTTGGTGGGGAACAAGAATTCCAATATGGAGAACAGTATGGAGGTTCCTTAAAAAACTAAAAATAGAACTGCCATACGACCCAGCAATCCCACTACTGGGCATATACCCTGAGAAAACCATAATTCAAAAAGAGTCATGTACCAAAATGTTCATTGCAGCTCTATTTACAATAACCAGGACATGGAAGCAACCTAAGTGTCCATCGACAGATGAATGGATAAAGAAGATGTGGCACATATATACAATGGAATATTACTCAGCCATAAAAAGGAACGAAACTGGGTTATCTGTAGTGAGGCGGATGGACCTAGAGTCTGTCATACAGAGTGAAGTAAGTCAGAAAGAGAAAAACAAATACTGTATGCTAACACATATATATGGAATCTAAGAGAAAAAAAAAGGTCATGAAGAACCTAGGGGCAAGACAGGAATAAAGACACAGACCTACTAGAGAATGGACTTGAGGATATGGGGAGGGGGAAGGGTAAGCTGTGACAAAGCGAGAGAGAGGCAGGGACATATATACACTACCAAACGTAAGGTAGATAGCTAGTGGGAAGCAGCCGCATAGCACAGGGAGATCGGCTCGGTGCTTTGTGACCACCTAGAGGGGTGGGATAGGGAGGGTGGGAGGGAGGGAGACGCAGGAGGGAGGAGATATGGGAACATATGTATATGTATATGTATAACTGATTCACTTTGTTATAAAGCAGAAACTAACACACCATTGTAAAGCAATTATACTCCAATAAAGATGTTAAAATAAAATTAAATTAAAAAAAAAAAGAGGAGAGAGCTACCAAAAAAAAAAAGGAATTCCGGAAGTTAGAGGAGAGACAGAGTGGGAGGGGTGGGGTGGGAGATGGGGTGCAGGAGAAAAGGGCGGCATGGGGAAGATGGAAACTCTCCCTGGTCTACAATACAGGCCCAAGTAAAGGGCAAACATGCGCCTATGTAGGGCACCTGCAGCCAGAGATGTGGAGCAGAGTCCAGCGGACGATGCATAGCTCCACAGTTACGTCCAAAGTCGAAGGAAGGGCCCCTTGCACTGTAAACGTTCTTGGGAGCACTGATCACTGGCAGGGTTCTACACTTGCACTCTGACGTGGGTTAGTACAAATCTGGAGCACTTGTTGCATTCGACAAGGGACAGGTTGGGTTTCTTGCAGCAGGCATCTGAGCACACAGAGTGCTCTGCAAACACAGCCCCAAGCTCCCACTATAATGCGCCCCAGGGAGCCAGAGCAAGCAGCTCCCTGATCATTTCATATGAACCACTAGCCCAATTCGTGGACTTTGCGGGCGAATGGAACAGAACCAGAGTCCCATCCATTAGTTACCGACTTTCGGGGGGTTAGGGGGAGAGTCGTGCTCAGAGCCCACACGACAAGGGGTGGTGACCGGGCTGGGGCTGCTGGGGCCCGGCGTGCTTTCTCCAGCCCCACCTCTGTGTCTCTCGCTCCGGGGTAACTAAGGGCAACGAGCCTGCGCCCATGGAGGGGCCAGGCCGAGAGATGTTCTCCCAACATTTTTCCGGGGCCCCGGGGGCGAGTGAGGTCTCATTCCCATGCCCCTCCCCCGCCTCAAGTTGGCACCCCTCTACGGTCACTCCCTGGCCTCGTGCACGCCTCAGCGGGTCCCACCCACCGCAGGCCAGGTGGGGACGGGCACCTAACCATGAGCGGGTACGCACTGCACCTGCGACAGACACGCTATAACCGGGACCAGGCGCCAAAAAGAGGACCTGACCCGGCCACTGGCCCTAGCTCTATCCCCGACGAGGGCATCCCCACAGATCCCAGCGCAGCTTTATCCACAGCACTCAAGACGTGGAGCCTCGGCTCGTGTGGGGGCGGGGCAGTGGAGTAGCCTTGATGATACTGGCTATCACAGCCTGAGTCGGTGAAGACCGGGAAGAACCACAAGGCCAGTGCCCGGACCGGGACAGGTGCTTTGGCGAAGCCCAGGAAATGCCCTTTCCCTGGGAGAGGCGAGTGGACGGGACGCTGCTGCAGCTCAGTGACGGCCCTTCGCCTCCCTATAGGCTCTCTCTTTGCCTTTCCCCCTTTTCAGATATGAAGCCCTCCGTGATCTCAGCGATGGATGGTAGCGGGAGGTGAAGAGGAGGCAGTGTGGTCCGAACTGGGGCGGGGGAGGACGAGGAGGCGTGGCCAGGAGCCCACAAAGCAGCAGCAGCAGGAGCTGACCTCCCCAGGTCCCTGAGGGGCGGAAGCCTGGGGACAGGTAGCGGCGCTTCTACCGCATCACATTCACCCCTTTGCAGCTACGGATGGAGCCTTTTACACCGCACTGGATACCCCGCCGTGTTCCCCATGTACGCGGCTAGCCCTGGAGGTGCCTAGCTCTCCAGGGTGCTCGGTTGTCTCTGGGTGTCTCTGGCTCTCTTCCGGAGTCTGAGCCAAAAGCCACCTAGAGGGCCCAAGGCCACCAGGGCCCCCTCCCCCAGGACTCTGGGGTGGGGGCAATACCTACCGGGCATCAAGGTAAGTATTTTCATGCGGTATTTAAATCCATCAAGTAGGGAAACTTTGGCCGGAGGCCCGTTTTGTAAATAACGTTTTGTTGGAACCGTGCATGAGGCACCGTGGAGCAAGTGCAGGGTCAGATTCTACCTATGTTTAAATTTTGGTAATATTTTCATCATGGGCTATTTTTGCACTAATTTTGGTATTTGTTAAATACTACACTAAAACATTATTTATCTTGATTACTGATTTTTTGGTGTCCCATTAAATTTTGCGTGGGAGGGAAAACCACCTGCTAAGGCGAGCCTGGAGCTGGGTATTACAGAAAAGTGTACTGTGGTGGGGGGCATGAAGGGGATAGAAAATTTAAAACAAGAATGAAATAACATCCATATATTTAATTTCATCCACATCTCAGAATACTGAACATTTGTGATTTTCTTCTCGCTTGCAAGACACATGGATGATACTGAAGCCAAGGTGCAGGTGAGTAAACCTGAAAAAAACAACCTGGCAGGGCAGCCATCCTAAAACCTGCTTTGGGACTTGGACATCTTTGTCATGGACATTCTCACGTTGGTTTGTTTTTATTGCCTTTTCCATGATTGGAAAATAAGTTTTTGAACTTTGGGGACTTTAAGGGGTAGTAAATGGGATCAGTAAATTCCAGTTTATGGAAACTGCCCATCATTCCCAAAGAAGAAAAAATAGAACAGAGCCACTTTTCCTACACCTGTGGTATCTATCCATCTGAATATATATAGATATGTGTTTTTTCCAATAAAATTCAAGTCCTCCTAACACAAGTATCCTTTAGGGAGAATGTTAGCCCTCCTTAAAGCAATACTTCTATCTTCCATGCAGTCATGTTGGGACTCAATCTGACCTGGAAGTATTTACATTAATACACTGAGGAGCTGGGTTATAAGAGGGTTCAACAGTGCTAAATTATTTAAAATATTCAAAACCAAGCATAAACTCTGAGGTAAAATGAGTGATTCTGTAAACATTTCAGCACTGGTGCAAGGGAGTAATTGGTCCAGAGAGCACACTATAGGAGTAACTAGCATCTGTTTAGTTGCAATGAGACGGATGGGGTTGAGAGCTTAAAGTTCAAGTCCTCCTGCTGTTGTTTTTCAGCATTTGGTAAAGCAAGGTAGGGAGTGGTAGCCCTAAAGTTGTCTAAAAAAACAAAAACAAAAAAGAACAATTATGGATAAAATTCCACTGACCCAAAAAGGGTGAAAATGAGAATTCTAATATATTGTCAAAATATGCCTTGGAGATATCACACAAAATCAATGTTATGAAACTACCAAATGCATAAATGAATATTCTCTTGAGGAACTTCTCATCTAAGGACTTTTTTCCCTTTTGGTGGTACAATTAGGAACAAGTGGGTTTTGTGGAACTTTTTGGTGCTGGTGGGGTGGCTGTCAATTCAGGGTAGAGTTGGACCTGTGTTAATCTGAAGTACCTTTTCATTTCCTCAAGCAGGGATGACTTATTTCTAGGTCATGGAATCAAGAGGTGACTACTTAAGATCACAGAAAACCTTAGGTTGCATCAAGGAAGTATTGGTAGGAGGAAAAATCAGGATGAGCTTATTATTAGCTTTGCTGCAGAGAGCGTGTGTGAGGGCAGCGATGGACACGGGCTGCAGAGCTGGTGGTGGGGTCTGGAAAGCAGTGCTGGCGGCCTAAGGCCACGGGCTGGGCTCACAGTCAGGTCTGGCCAGGGCTTGGGAGGCGCAGGCCTCTGCTTTCTCAAGCAGGCAAAGCAAGCTCAGAGGAAAAGAGAAACTGAAGTTTTGGTGGCTTGCTTCTCCTGGGTTTACGTAGTGGTCTCCTAATGGAGTTCTGAAGGGAAAAGGAACCACAAGAAAAAAATAAGGAAAAAGAATGTTCTCATCTATTTCCAAACTACAGCATGAACCCCAAAGAACCTCCTTTTCTCTCTTTTTTTAAAATTGAGGTATAATTGATATACATTATATTAGTTTCAGGTGTACAACATAATTATTTGATATTTGTAAATATTGCAAAATGATCACCACAATAAGTCTAGTTAACATCCGTCACCACACCCAAATTTTTTTTCTTATGATAATTTTTAAGATCTACTCTCTTAGCAACTTTCAAATTAGTACTATTAGTACTTTCAATAGTACTATTAACTGTAGTCAGCATACTGTACATTACACTCCCCATGACTTAAGTTTGTACCTTTGACCCCCTTCACCCATTTCTCCTACCTCCCTCCTCTGGTAACCACCAATCTGTTCTATGAGCTTGTTTTCTTTTCTTTTCTTTTTTGTTTTTTGCGGTACGCGGGCCTCTCACTGTTGTGGCCTCTCCCGTTGCGGAGCACAGGCTCCAGACGCGCAGGCTCAGCAGCCATGGCTCACGGGCCTAGCCGCTCCGCGGCATGTGGGACCTTCCCGGACCGGGGCACGAACCCGTGTCCCCTGCATCGGCAGGTGGACTCTCAACCACTGCGCCACCAGGGAAGCCCCTATGAGCTTGTTTTCTTTAATTGACGGGGGGTTGTTGTTTGTTGCTTTTAGATTCCTCCATGTAAAAGTGAGATCACACATTATCTGTCTTTCTGATTTATTTCACTTAGCATGATGCACTCAAGGTCCATCCATGTTGTAGCAAGTGTAAGATTTCATTCTTTTTTGTGGCTGAAAAATATTCCACTGTATATACAGGCACACCTCATTTATTGTGCTTCACTTTATTGCACTTTGCAGATATTGCGGTTTTTTCTTTTCTTAAACAAATTGAAGATTTACGGCCACCCTGAATCAAGCAAGTCCACTGGTGCCATTTTTCCAACAGCATTTGCTCACTTCTTGTCTCTGTGTCACATTTTGGAAATTCTGGTGATATTTCAGACTTTTTCATCATTATTATATTTGTTATAGTGATCTGTGATCAGTGATCTCTGTTTCTATTGCAGAAATATTACAATTTGCTGAAGGCCCAAGATGGTGGTTAGCATTTTTAGCAATAAAGTATTTTTTATTTTTCATGGCTTAAACAACAGAAATTTATTTTTTATTATTTTTTTAACATCTTTATTGGAGTATAATTGCTTTACATTGATGTGTTAATTTCTGCTTTATAACAAAGTGAATTGGTTATACATATACATATGTCCCCATATCTCTTCCCCCTTGCATCTCCCTCCCTCCAACCCTCCCTATCCCACCCCGCTAAGTGGTCACAAAGCACCGAGCTGATCTCCCTGTGCTATGTGGCTGCTTCCCACTAGCTATCTATTTTACTTTTGGTAGTGTATATATATGTCCATGTCACTTTCTCACTTTGTCCCAGCTTACCCTTCCCCCTCCCCGTATCCTCAAGTCCATTCTCTAGTAGGTATGCATCTTTATTCCCATCTTGCCCCTAGGTTCTCCATGACCATTTTATTTTAAGATTCCATATATATGTGTTAGCATATGGTATTTGTTTTTCTCTTTCTGACTTACTTCATCCACCTCACTACAAATAACTCAGTTTCATTCCTTTTTATGGCTGAGTAATATTCCATTGTATATATATGCCACATCTTCTTTATCCATTCATCTGTCAATGGACACTTAGGCTGCTTCCATGTCCCGGCTATTGTAAATAGAGGTGCAGTGAACATTGTGGTACATGACTCTTTTTGAATTATGGTTTTCTCAGGGTATATGCCCAGTAGTGGGATTGCTGGGTCGTATGGCAGTTCTATTTTTAGTTTCTTAAGGAACCTCCATACTGTTCTCCATAGTGGCTGTATCAATTTACATTCCCACCAACAGTGCAAGAGGGTTCCCTTTTCTCCACACCCCCTCCAGCATTTATTGTTTGTAGATTTTTTGATGATGCCCATTCTGACCGGTGTGAGATGATATCTCATTGTAGTTTTGATTTGTATTTCGCTAATGATTAATGATGTTGAGCATTCTTTCATGTGTCTGTTAGGCAATCTGTATATCTTCTTTGGAGAAATGTCTATTTAGGTCCTCTGCCCATTTGTGGATTGGGTTGTTTATTTTTTCAATATTGAGCTGCCTGTAAATTTTGGAGATTAATCCTTTGTCAGTTGCTTCATTTACAAATATTTTCTCCCATTCTGAGGGTTGTTTTTTGTCTTGTTTATGGTTTCCTTTGCTGTGCAAAAGCTTTTAAGTTTCATTAGGTCCCATTTGTTTATTTTTGTTTTTATTTCCATTTCTCTAGGAGGTGGGTCAGAAAGGATCTTGCTGTGATATATGTCATAGACTGTTCTGCCTATGTTTTCCTCTAAGAGTTTGATGGTGTCTGGCCTTACACTTAGGTCTTTAATCCATTTTGAGTTTATTTTTGTGTATGGTGTTAGGGAGTGTTCTAATTTCATTCTTTTACATGGAGCTGTCCAGTTCTCCCAGCACCACTTATTGAAGAGGCTGTCTTTTCTCCACTGTATATTCTTGCCTCCTTTATCAAAGATAAGGTGACCATATGTGCATGGGTTTATTTCTGGGTTTTCTATCCTGTTCCACTGATCTATATTTCGGTTTCTGTGCCAGTACCATACTGTCTTGATTACTGTAGCTTTGTAGTATAGTCTGATGTCAGGGAGTCTGATTCCTCCAGCCCCGTTTTTCTTTCTCAAGATTGCTCTGGCTATTCAGGGTCTTTTGTGTTTCCATACAAATTGTGAAACTTTTTGTTCTAGTTCTGGGGGAAATGCCAGTGGTAGTTTGATAGGGATTGCATTGAATCTGTAGATTGCTTTGGGTAGTAGAGTCATTTTCACAAAGTTGAATCTTCCAATCCAAGAAAATGGTATATCTCTCCAACTATTTGTATCATCTTTAATTTCTTTCATCAGTGTCTTATAATTTTCTGCATACAGGTCTTTTGTCTCCTTATGTAGGTTTATTCCTAGATATTTTATTCTTTTTGTTGCAATGGGTAATGGGAGTGTTTTCTTAATTTCCCTTTCATATTTTTCATCATTAGTGTATAGAAATGCAAGAGATTTCTGTGCATTAATTTTGTATCCTGCAACTTTACCACATTCACTGACTAGCTCTAGTAGTTTTCTGGTAACATCTTTAGGATTCTCTATGTATAGTATCATGTCACCTGCAAACAGTGACAGTGTTACTTCTTCTTTTCCAATATGGATTCCTTTAATTTCTTTTTCTTCTCTGATTGCTGTGGCTAAAACTTCCAAAACTATGTTGAATAACAGTGGTGAGAGTGGGCAACCTTGTCTTGTTCCTGAACTTAGTGGAAATGGTTTCAGTTTTTCACCATTGAGGACAATGTTGGCTGTGGGTTTGTCATATATAGCCTTTATTATGTTGACGAAAGTTCCCTCTATGCCTACTATCTGGAGGGTTTTTATCATAAATGGGTGTTGAATTTTGTGAAAAGCTTTCTCTGCATCTATTGAGATGATCATATGGTTTTTCCCCTTCAATTTGCTAATATGGTGTATCACGTTGATTGATTTGCATATATTGAAGAATCCTTGCATTCCTGGGATAAATCCCACTTGATCATAGTGTATGATCCTTTTAATGTGCTGTTGGATTCTGCTTGCTAGTATTTTGTTGAGGATTTTTGCATCTATGTTCATCAGTGATATTGGCCTGTAGTTCTCTTTCTTTGTGACATCTTTGTCTGGTTTGGTATCAGAGTGATGGTGGCCTCGTAGAATGAGTTTGGGAGTGTTCCTCCCTCTGCTATATTTTGGAAGAGTTTGAGAAGGATAGGTGTTAGCTCTTCTCTAAATGTTTGATAGAATTCACCTGTAAAGCCATCTGGTACTGGGCTTTTGTTTGTTGGAAGATTTTTAATCACACTTTCAATTTCAGTGCTTGTGATTGGTCTGTTCATATTTTCTATTTCTTCGTGGTTCAGTCTTGGAAGGTTGTGCATTTCTAAGAATTTGTCCATTTCTTCCAGGTTGTCCATTTTATTGACATATAGTTGCTTGTAGTAATCTCTCATGTTGCTGTGTATTTCTGCAGTGTCAGTTGTTACTTCTCCTTTTCCATTTCTAATTCTACTGATTTGAGTCTTCTCTCTTTTTTCTTGATGAGTCTGGCTAATGGTTTATCAATTTTGTTTATCTTCTCAACACACCAGCTTTTAGTTTTATTGATCTTTACTATCGTTTCCTTCATTTCTTTTTCATTTATTTCTGATCTGATCTTTATGATTTCTTTCCTTTGGCTAATTTTGGGGTTTTTTGTTTTTCTTTCTCTAACTGCTTTAGGTGTAAGGTTAGGTTGTTTATTTGAGATGTTTCTTGTTTCTTAAGGTAGGATTGTATTGCTATAAACTTCCCTCTTAGAACTGCTTTTGCTGCATCCCATAGCTTTTGGGTCGTCGTGTTTTCAGTGTTATTTGATTCTAGGTATTTTTTGATTTCCTCTTTGATTTCTTCAGCGATCTCTTGGTTATTAAGTAGTGTGTTATTTAGCCTCCATGTGTTTGTGTTTCTTACATATTTTTTCCTATAATTGATATCTAGTCTCATGGCGTTGTGGTCGGAAAAGATACTTGGTAAGATTTCAATTTTCTTAAATTTACTGAGGCTTGATTTGTGACCCAAGATATGATCTATCCTGGAGAATGTTCCATGAGCACTTGCGAAGAATGTGTATTCTGTTGTTTTTGGATAGAATGTCCGTAAATATCAATTAAGTACATCTTGTGTAATGTATCATTTAAAGTTTGTTTCCTTATTTATTTTCATTTTGGATGATGTGTCCATTGGTGAAAGTGGGGTGTTAAAGTCCCCTACTATGATTGTGTTACCGTCGATTTCCCCTTTTATGGCTGTTAGTATTTGCCTTATGTATTGAGGTGCTCCTATGTTGAGTGCATAAATATTTACAATTGTTATATCTTCTTCTTGGATTGATCCCTTGATCATTATGTAGTGTCCTTCTTTGTCTCTTGTAATAGTCTTTAAAGTCTATTTTGTCTGATATGAGAATAGCTACTCCAGCTTTCTTTTGATTCCATTTGCATGGAATATCTTTTTCCATCCCCTCACTTTCAGTCTGTATGTGTCCCTAGGTCTGAAGTGGGTCTCTGTAGACAGCATATATATGGGTCTTGTTATTTTATCCATTCAGTCAATCTATGTCTTTTGGTTGGAGCATTTAATCCATTTACATTTAAGGTAATTATCAATATGTATGTTCCTATTCCCATTTTCTTAATTGTTTGGGGTTTATTATTGTAGGTCTTTTCCTTCTCTTGTGTTTCCTGCCTGGAGAAGTTCCTTTAGCATTTGTTGTAAAGCTGGTTTGGTGGTGCTGAACTCTCTCAGCTTTCGCTTGTCTGTAAAGGTTTTAATTTCTCTGTCAAATCTGAATGAGATCCTTGCTGGGTAGAGTAATCTTGGTTGTAGGTTTTTCTCCTTCATCACTTTAAATATGTCCTGCCACTCCCTATTGGCTTGCAGAGTTTCTGCTGAAAGATCAGCTGTTAACCTTATGGGGATTCCCTTGTGTGTTATTTGTTGTTTTTCCCTTGCTGCTTTCAATATGTTTTCTTTGTATTTAATTTTTGATAGTTTAGTATGTGTGTTGGCGTGTTTCTCCTTGGATTTATCCTGTATGGGACTCTCTGCGCTTCCTGGACTTAATTAACTATTTCCTTTCTCATATTAGGGAAGTTTTCAACTATAATCTCTGCAAATATTTTCTCAGTCCCTTTCTTTTTCTCTTCTTCTTCTGCGACCTCTATAATTCGAATGCTAGTGCATTTAATGTTGTCCCAGAAGTCTCTGAGACTGTCCTCAGTTCTTCACATTCTTTTTTCTTTTTTCTGCTCTGCAGTAGTTATTTCCACTATTTTGTCTTCCAGGTCACTTACGCGTTCTTCTGCCTCAGTTATTCTGCTATTGATCCCTTCTAGAGAATTTTTAATTTCATTTATTGTGTTGTTCATCACTGTTTGTTTGCTCTTTAGGTCTTCTAAGTCCTTTTTAAACGTTTCTTGTATTTTCTCCATTCTATTTCCAAGATTTTGGATCATCTTTACTATCATTATTCTGAATTCTTTTTCACGTAGACTGCCTATTTCCTCTTCATTTGTTAGGTCTGGTGGGTTTTTGCCTTGCTCCTTGAGCTGCTGTGTCTTTCTCTGTCTTCTCATTTTGCTTAACTTACTGTGTTTGGGGTCTCCTTTTCGCAGGCTGCAGGTTCATAGTTCCCATTGTTTTTGGTGTCTGTCCGCAGTGGCTAAGGTTGGTTCAGTGGGTTGTGTAGGCTTCCTGGTGGAGGGGACTAGTACCTATTCTGGTGGATGAGGCTGGATCTTGTCCTTCTGGTGGGCAGGTCCACGTTTGGTGGTGTTTTGGAGTGTCTGTGGGCTTACTGTGATTTTAGGAATCCTCTGTGCTAATGGATGGGGTTGGGTTCCTGTCTTGCTAGTTGTTTGGCATTGGGTGTCCAGCACTGTACCTTGCTGGTTGTTGAGTGGAGCTGGATCTTGGCGTTGAGATGGAGATCTCTGGGAGATTTTCGCCGTTTGATATTACGTGGAGATGGGAGGCCTCTTGTGGACCAGTGTCCTGAACGTGGCTCTCCCACCTCAGTGGCACAGCCCTGACGCCTGGCTGGAGCACCAAGAGCCTCTCCTCCACACGGCTCAGAATAAAAGGGAGGAAGAAAGGAAAGAAAGAAAGAAGATAAAATAAAGTAAAATAAAATAACGTTATTAAAATAAAAATTATTACGAAAAAAAATTTTTTTAATAAAATTAAAAAGAAACGGAGAGAACCCTAGGACAAATGGTAAAAGCAAAGCTATACAGACAAAATCACACACAGAAGCATATACATACACAGTCACAAAAAGAGAAAAAGGGAAAACAATATATATATCATTGCTCCCAAAATCCACCTCCTCAATTTGGGATGATTTGTTGTCTATTCAGGTATTCCACAGATGCAGGGTACATCAAGTTGATTGTGGAGATTTAATCCGCTGCTCCTTAGGCTGCTGGGAGTGATTTTCCTTTCTCTTCTTTGTTCGCACAGCTCCTCGGGTTTAGCTGTGGATTTGGACCCGCCTCTGCGTGTAGGTCGCCGGAGGGCGTCTGTTCTTCGCTCAGACAGGATGGGGTTAAAAGAGCAGCTGATTCGGGGGCTCTGGCTCGCTCAGGCCGGGGGAAGGCAGGGGTATGGATGTGGGGCGAGCCTGCAGGTGCAGAGGCCGGCATGACATTGCACCAGCCTGAGGCGTGCCGTGCGTTCTCCCGGGGAAGTTGTCCCTGGATCATAGGACCCTGGCAGTGGTGGGATGCACAGGCTCCCAGCAGGGGCGGTGACCTGTGCTTGCACACAGGCTTCTTGTTGGCTCTAGCAGAAGCCTTAGCGTCTCATGCCCATCTCTGGGGTCCGCACTGATGGCTGCGTCTCGCACCCGTCTCTGGAGCTCCTTTAAGCTGCGCTCTTAATCCCCTCTCCTCGTGTACCAGGAAACAAAGAGGCAAGAAAAAGTGTCTTGCCTCTTCAGCAGCTCCAGACTTTTTCCCGGACTCCCTCCTGGCTAGCTGTGGCACACTGGCCCCCTTCAGGCTGTGTTCACTCAGCCAACCCCAGTCCTCTCCCTGGGATCTGACCTCCGAAGCCTGAGCCTCAGCTCCCAGACCCCCGCTCAACCCAGCAGGTGAGCAGACAAGCCTCTCAGGCTGGTGAGTGCTGGTCGGCACCGTTCCTCTGTGCGGGAATCTCCCCGCTTTGCCCTCTGCACCTCTGTTGCTGCATTTTCCTCCATGGCTCCAAGGCTTCCCCGCTCCGCCACCCGCAGTCTCAGCCCACGAAGGGGCTTCCTAGTGTGTGGAAACCTCTCCTCCTTCACAGCTCCCTCCCACTGGTGCAGGTCCCGTCCCTATTCTTTTGTCTTTTCTTTTGCCCTACCCAGGTACATGGAGAGTTTCTTGCCTTTTGGGAGGGAGGTCTGAGGTCTTCTGCCAGCGTTCAGCAGGTGTTCTGTAGGAGTTGTACCACATGTAGATTTCTGATGTATTTGTGGGGAGGAAGGTGATCTCTGCGTCTTACTCTTCTGCCATCTTGAAGCTCCTCACCAATAAAGTTTTTTTTTTTTTTTTTTTGCGGTACGCAGGCCTCTCACTGTTGTGGCCTCTCCCATTGCGGAGCACAGGCTCCGGACGCACAGGCTCAGTGGCCATGGCTCATGGGCCTAGCCGCTCCGCGGCATGTGGGATCTGCCCGGACCGGGGCACAAACCCATGTCCCCTTCATCGACAGGCAGACTCTCAATCACTGCGCCACCAGGGAAGCCCATCAATAAAGTATTTTTAAGGTATTTACGTTGTGGGTTTTTAAAAAAATATTTATTTATTTTTTGGCTGCATTGGGTCTTCGTTGCTGCACACGGGCTTTCTCTAGTTGCAGCAAGTGGGGGCTACTCTTTGTTGCCCGGGTTTCTCATTGCAGTGGCTTCTCTTGTTGCGGTGCATGGGCTCTAGGTGCACGGGCTTTAGTATTTGTGGTTCGCAGGCTCAGTAGTTGTGGCATGTGGGCTGTAGAGTGCAGGCTCTGTAGTTGTGGCACACGGGCGTAGTTGCTCCATGGCATGTGGAATCTTCCCAGACCAAGGCTCGAACCCATGTCCCCTGCATTGGCAGGCGGGTTCTTAACCACTGGGCCACCAGGGAAGCCCTTTATGTTGTTTCTTAAGACATAATGCTATTGCATACTTTAATAGACTACAGTATAGTGTAAAAATAACTTTTACATGTATTAGGAAACCAAAAAATCCATGAAATAAATCACTTTATTGCGATATTCACTTTGTTGCAGTGGTCTGGAACCACACCAACAATATCTCTGAGATGTGCCTGTATACACATTTTCTTTATTCATTCATCCGTAGATAGACAATTGGGTTGTTTCCTTATCTATCGCAAATAATGCTGCAGTGAACACGGGGGTGCCACACTGTTGCTGACCTTGTTCTAAAATGCCTAGTTCCACTCTCCTGCCTTAGAACTCTTGTTGGTGTTGGGATCTCCTAGTTGAGGAGTAGGGCTGGCAGGACCTACTCTGGCAACATCACCTTCCATCCAGAATCCTGAACCTGGAGGTAGAACCGGGTTAGCTGACAGTGTCCTGAGCCCATGAAGACTGGAGGGTGGGGGCAGGTTGGCACATGCAGAATTGACAGTGGTCTGCCTCTTTCCCTCCAAATTATTGGCTGGGCAGAAACTGGGTTTGAATGGAGTTGAACCTAGTTAGGTTGAACTTTCCTTAGCATTAAAGACTAAGATATCAAGGCAGTGACCAGATCTTCAGCAACTCTCACGTCCCAGTAAGACAAGTCAAAACCCCACTGGGCCCCTCTTGCCAGACCACCTTTCTAACTTTCAAGATGTTTCAGAGGGTGAATGACTCCTTAGTCATCCTTGAAGGAAGCCTTCTGTCTAAAAATCCAACATGTTCCTTCCTATTAATTATTTACTTCAGACTGAAGATGGGGTTTTAAAATAGGGGCTGCCTCCCTCAGTATGACTTTGAAAGGGGTTGAATTTTTACCATGTTCAGCTCCCCCCATCACCAGGGTGACATTGTCTCTAGTGAGGAGGGGCAGGGCAGCTCAACTGCTGTCAGAACACTAACATGTCTTTACCCTGTTACCAGGCAAAGCATTAACAGCAAGGACACAGTGCAATTCACTAGCTGGTTTGCATGTAGGACATGGAAAATAGTTAAAGAATACTAAAAGTGGGAGGACAGGAACAAAGCAATAAGCCTAGACCAGAGCTTGGCATGTATAGCCTACGATCACTAAGGTTGGGCTGAAGGGAGGGGTGCAGTATTAATTTTCCTAAGATATTTGAGCAATAATGAAATAGTTTCTTCCATTTCATCAATAGCACATAGATTTGCATATTGTGTTTTTCTATTAAGACATTAACTGTTCAATATACTAAACCAATACCTTTTTTCCCTCTGATTAAAGTTTTGGTTTAAGAATGGGAGGGCCAAGTGTTGGAGATATCAGAGGGGTTTAATTCTCAGAAATACATCCCCTTTGGCCATGGGTCACCCTGTCATCATAATCCTGGATGGACCCTATAATGCCACATTTATTCTGCAACCCAACTGGAGTTGGGTTCCTCTGGTGCCACTGCAGCCCCAAATACCTGGGCCACCCATGCCATCCTTGCCTTGTCTGCCCTTGCCTCCTCCACCTATGTCTTCCTTTGGCTTAGCTTTGCTTGGCCTGGCATGGGTCCCTGTCATCAGCATTCATTTTCTAGTCCCTATCTTGTAAGACATGTTTTCTATGAGTTTTTCCAAAGTATTTTTTTGCCAGATTGAAATTTTTCATAGCACCTCAAGAGCAGTTCACCAAATGCCTAATAAATGAACTGAATAAATGAAAACAGTGCACTGTGTTTTTAATAGGGCATATTTTTTGTATTTTCAGTAAAGATGTGAATTCTCTTGTATACTTGTTTTTATGTGCCAAATGGGGTTAGTATGATATGGGTAAGAATTGCTAAGGAATGTCAAGAAGGTCTCTTTTCATGAGGTGACGTCCCTAAGCACTATCACTAGACCCTGCACTTCTCAGATACATACACATGTAAGATGAGGTGGGAAAAGTCCCTAGTGAGAGAACAGTGTGCTGCAAAATGGGACCAAGCTCCATTCATGATGAGGAGCTCAGGCACAAGCCTGGACTCTAAAGGAAGCTTCCTAAGAAATTACTATTCATAGGGCTTTATGGGAAGGTAGCATCCAAATATTCACCTAGTTTTGTTCTAGATGCTCCAGATTCTGTTCACTACCCTCCCTTTTTGTGAAGGATATAGGGGAACAAACCATTCTGGCCCAAAGGAACTGCTGCTTCAAAGGGAACACAAGAGGTGCCTCCATTGAGGCCAGAAAGAGGCTCTTCTCCCTTTTCACCCCTCCCCCCACCACAGGAGCCATATTGTTGTGTCTTCCCCGGCTCAGAAGTGACAATTATCCCTTCAAATGTATTTTGTCTCATTCAGCGTCCTTGAAAGGACGCTAGATCTGACGATTAAACACTAAAAGGGAACATTTTGGTTTACTGCTGCTGGAAGCAAGAGGGAGGCCCTGATTAATATTCCAGATTAATAGATCACTGAAAAGAAGTGGTCAGACCTTGGCTTTCTTCATGCTGTCTTCCTCATGTGAAACTGCCAGGCTAGAAAACAAAATACAAATGAAGTGTGATAAAAAACTGAGGAATTACTGTTAAATTTTTAGGCATAGTAATGGTAATGTGGTTATGTTTAAAAAAGAATGTCTCTCTTTTAGAGAAGCATGCTGAATTGTTTATAAATGAAATGATATCTGGGATTTGTTTCAAAATAATTGGGAGGTGGTGGCAACTTCTCACAAGTTGATAATTGTTCAAGTGGGTGATATGTACATGGGAGATCATTACACTATTCTCTATACTTGTATATATATTTGACCTTTTCCATAACAAAAATTAAATTAAAAAACCTGATCATCTGTGTTTCTTCTTTTTCTTTTGCTGGGCTTTTTTTTTGCTTTCCTTTGTATCTTCATCTGAAAATTAAAACACATTAAAATTGAAAAAAAAGTTTACCTCTAAACATTAATACCTTTTTATAAATTTATTTATGATTTATTTATTTATTTATGGCTGTGTTCGGTCTTCGTTGCTGCGTGCGGGCTTTCTTTAGTTGCAGCGTGCTGGGGCTACTCTTCGTTGTGCCACACAGGCTTCTCATTGCAGTGGCTTCTCTTGTTGCAGAGCACAGGCTCTAGGCGTGCAGGCTTCTGTAGTTGTGGCACGTGGGCTCAGTAGTTGTGGCTTGCGGGCTCTAGAGCACAGGCCCAGTAGTTGTGGCACACGGGCTTAGTTGCTCTGTGGCATATGGGATCTTCCTGGACCAGAGCTCGAACCCAAGTCCCCTGCATTGGCAGGCGGACTCCTAACCACTGTGCTACCAGAGAAGTCCCCATGTTAATACCTTTGACAAGATAAATATGCTTTTCCTGTCCCATTTGTTATATCAGAGAAATTCAAACGCTTGTGTCACGAACCGTGCTAGGCATTGGAAGCATAGAAATTAAAGTCACACTAGGTATTAGATGATATAAGGAATTATTAACTTACTGGTAAGATAATGGTATTGTAGTTAAGTAGGAAAACGTCATTTTTTAAAGCGTTGCAGACAGAAATATTTAGTGTATTTTACCTTGACTATCTCAACAAAAAAATCCCTATCTGAAGCAAGTATGTCAAAATGCTAACAAATGTTAAACCTGAGTGACAAGTACTGTACATGGCATTAATACTACTACTCCCTTTACTTTTCTCAATGTTTGAGTATTTTCATGATGTGTGTGTTTGGAGGTTTGCTTTCCAGGAGCACATTCTAGTGGAGGAGACACAGGGAAAGAGGCAACTAGAATCTGAGTGAGAGGGAAGCATGGGGTGCTCTGGGCATACAGAGGAGTCTCAAAATCAGGCTGATTTGGGGATAGTGGTTGAGGAATGGTTGACCAGGAAAAGGTGACTCTTAAGCTAGTTATTTTTAAAATCAGTTTCATTACAAACGTAATGCATGCCCATCATAGCAATGAGTAAGCCAAGCCGCGTGCAGGGAGAGACCGGCATTGTAGGCAGACAGACTCTCTGTATCAAGCGACAGAGTCAAGAGAAAGGACGTGCAGTATCAAGGAGATGGAAAGTCATCCTTAGGCCAAAGAGGACGCTGCAGGAGAGCCACAGGGTACGTGTGATGTGAGAGATCAATTGGTGTTGCAGTTTTCTTATGACAGGGCTGAAAGTAAGCTCATCACACGAGATGAACTGTGCAGAAGCACAGCAGTAGAGGGCTGCTGCTCGCTCAGGCAATACGGCGCCGTCTCATCCTGCTGTGGTGACTTTTATTTAAGCATTATCTATGTTTACATCTTAAGACTTAAAATTTTAACATTCCAGAAATGCCAAAGCAGCAATATATGCTTGTATTGATTAGACAAGCAACAGTGGGCTTTCTTGAAGACATGCCGTGCTTCATCCTGGAGCTCACAAGCAGCACAAGGACATCTCCTTGTGTTCCCATCATTCTGATTATACTGAGGTCATTTCATGGATCAGCGCCCAAAGTATCCAGGACTGCCTGCAGTTCTGGCTTATTCTCTAACCCTCGGTCTGCCGAGGGGTTCATGGGTCACGTCTCCTTTCCATGTCCTCAGTTATTCCTCTACAATTGGGATCTGACTTTACCCTGAAGGCCATGGAGAACTGTGGAAGGATTTTAAGTAGGGACCGCCATGCTCAGATCTGCGCTTCAAGAAAGCTCAGGCTTCTAGCAGTGAGGAAGAAAGGTGACAGTGAGGGCCAGGAAACCCAGGTGACATCAGAGGAAGGGGTGCCTTAGTGTAACGTGTCCCCAGAGGAGGCACCCTCTGTCAGTCATCAGCCAGGAGAGGGCACAAAAAGGTGACTTTTTTGTGATGTGCCGCCCCACAGGAAGTGTGATACATAAATCAGCTGCTGGCCAGAGGGAGTCCCCTATGGTGTACCTTTTTGAAAATTGCACAAAGGTGCCCACTAAGTGTGAGAATCTCCCAGAAGAGCTGCTCCACTGGGCTGAGGCAGCCCCCTGTGGCTTGGTTTAGCACCACACGTCTCACAGACTAACCCCAACATGGTTCGGTGCCACATGCCTTGTACAGCTACACACAACCAATCTGGAGTCACACGGCTTAGGTCTGAATCCCAACTGTGTGGCCTTGGGTGCGGTACTTAATGCTCTGCTCTGGGCCTCCATTTCTCCATCTCTAAGATGTGTCCTACAGTGACTGTGTGGATTAAATAGCAATAATGCATATCAAGCACTTAGCAGGGTGCCCAACACAAAGTCAGTGAGTGTTCAAAACTCTTGGCTATTATTGTTTTTAAGAACCTGCTTCTAAAATAAGCTTTCAAGAAGTACAACTAGTTTTGAAGTAAGGCTCACAGAAGGATGTTGGCTTTCTTACCACTGGAGTCTGTTTCAGAATCAGAGTCACTGTCACTATCATCAGAATACTTCTTGTGTTTTCTTTTAGATGATTTTTTCTTCCTCTTTTTCTTGGACCTTTCTTTTGAATGACTAGACTTCTTCTTCTTCTTTTCTTCTACATAAAATACAAATAAAAAACTAACTTCTAAAGAAGTATTTCTGAGCATCAATTTTATTGTATTAAAAATACTGGAAAGATGGGCTTCCCTGGTGGCGCAGTGGTTGAGAGTCCGCCTGCCGATGCAGGGGACATGGGTTCGGGTCCCGGTCCGGGAAGCGGCTGGGCTCGTGAGCCATGGCCGCTGAGCCTGAGCGTCTGGAGCCTGTGCTCCGCAACGGGAGAGGCCACAACAGTGAGAGGCCTGGGTACCGCAAAAAAAAAAAAAAAAAAAAATACTGAAAAGGAATTGATGACAGGCGATTTGAGTAAAGTCTAATATTCAACTATTTATAAATGTATTTTTTAAACTTCTCAATAAAAAAGTCCTATATTTAAAAAATACCTTCTGAAGTAGAAGCTAAAGTGGTGCTTTTCTTTGGCTCTTTGTCCTGTACTGCTGTATGTTCATCAGAGCTGAATTTAAAGAAAACTGTAGTAAGAATCAGAAAAGTGATAAAATATGGACCACAGAGTATAAAAATATACACTTAAAAATTTTCAGTAACAAACTGATTGTCCAAGAACCATTCAAAGCCAGCATCTGACTGCTTTTGTAACAGTACAGCTTATTGGCCAACCACCTTCAAAATAGTAGAATAATCATTTACATTTGCATAATGCTTTCGAGTTAACAAAATGCTATTCACACTGAAAGCAGCATGAAGGATTTATATTTTCAGAAGAAACCACAGGGTAAATGCAGGGAAATAGGAATCATAAGGAAAGATGAAAGAAACTGGACATAAGAAGGCTGAGGGAAGACTTCATAATTTCATTCTACATGTGGAACAGACATACGGTACAGTAGCAATTGTTGTGTCTCCCCAGAGTAAGAACCTAACACACTACAGTATAGAGATTTCATCCTGTTATAAGAGAATTCTGAAAATGAGTATTATTAGCCTTCTACAATAGCTTAAAAAGGGCATTTCCGTATCACAGTCTTTTCCTCTTAACATCACATCTGGAATAATTTAGGTATTGCCTAGAAAATTATTTTTAGGGCACCTTCCAACTCTAATTCTCTGATTTCATGTTCTTATAAGGATATCTGTAAGTACAAGTTTCTAATAATAATGCTTTATCAACTAGTCACAAATTAGAAGTTTATCTGTGAAGCACATTGTCTCAACTCAACCTAAAGTAGACACGGAAATAGAGGAGAGGGAAGCAGCAGCTAATAAAGAGCACCAAAGAGAAAAGAAACAAGGAAAAAGAAGAAGCATTAAACCTTCAGATAGTATTGTATATAGGAAAATTAACTAAACAAAACCATACTGGCATGTTCATCTTTAAAATCCCTTTGTAATGCTAAAATCTGGCATGCAATCTGTTATTGGGTTAGTTGAAGAAAAAAAATAATTCAAAATAACATAAATGCATTATTTGTCTTAACACTGAACCCTTCTATGAATAGGAAATTAGCACCCCATGAATTATAATTTAAAAAGAACAATTAGCATGCTAAAATCCACTGGCAACATGTTTTAATTCTTAGGTATGTTCCATATTTTTAAAACTTAAGGGACATAAAAGGATAAATCACAAGAAAGAAGAAATATGTGAGATGCACTTAAAGTTCCTCACTTAATTAAAAAATTTAAAATAGGCACTGGATTTAATAAATGTTATAACATATTTTAAAAATACATTTTTAAAAGACTTACTGTGGTTCAGTATTGTATTAGTCAGCTAGGGCTGCCATAACAAAATACCATAGACTGGGTGGCTTAAACAACAGAAATTTATTTTCTCACTGTTCTGGAGGTTAGAAATCCAAGATCGAGGATTGGTTCAAGATGGCGGAGCAGAAGGACGTGCTCTCACTCCCTCTTGTGAGAGCACTGGAATCACAACTAACTGCTGAACAATCATCGACAGGAAGACACTGGAACTCACCAAAAAAGATACCCCACATCCAAAGACAAAGGAGAAGCCACAATGAGACGGTAGGAGGGGTGCAATCACGATAAAATCAAATCCCATAACTGCTAGGCAGGTGACTCACAAACTGGAGAATGCTTATACCACAGAAGTCCACCCACTGGAGTGAAGGTTCTGAGCCCCATGTCAGGCTTCCCAACCTGGGGGTCTGGCAACGGGAGGAGGAATTCCTAGAGAATCAGACTTTAAAGGCTAGTGGGAATCAATTGCAGGACTCTGACTGAACTGGGGGAAACATAGACTCCATTCTTGGAGGGCACACACAAAGTAGTGTGCACATCACGACCCAGGGGAAGGAGGAGTGATTCCATAGGAGACTGAACCAGATCTACCTGCTAGTGTTGGAGGGTCTCCTGCAGAGGCGGGGGGCAGTTGTGGCTCACCGCAGGGACAAGGACACTGGCAGCAGAAGTTCTGGGAAGTCCTCCTTGGTGTGAGCCCTCCCAGAGTCTGCCATTAGCCCCACCAAAGAGCCCAGGTAGGCTCCAGTGTTGGGTCGCCTAAGGCCAAACAACCAACAGGGAGGGAACCCAGCCCCACCCACCAGCAGACAGGCTGATTAAAGTTTTACTGAGCTCTGCCCACCAAGCAACAGCCATCTCTACCCACCACCAGTCCCTCCCATCAGGAAACTTCCACAAGCCTCTTAGATAGCCTCATCCACCAGAGGGCAGACAGCAGAGGCAAAAAGAACTACAGTCCTGCAGCCTGTGTAACAAAAACCACATTCACAGAGAGACAAGATGAAAAGGCAGAGGGCTACGTACCAGATGAAGGAACAAGATAAAACCCCAAAAAAACAACTAAATGAAGTGGAGATACGCAACCTTCCAGAAAAAGAATTCAGAATAATGAGAGTGAAGATGATCCAGGACCTCGGAGAAAGAATGGAGGCAAAGATCAAGAAGATGCAAGAAATGTTTAACAAAGACCTAGAAGAATTAAAGAACAAACAAACAAAGATGAACAGTACAATAACTGAAATGAAAAATACAAATTCCTAGAAGGAATCAATAGCAGAATAAATGAGGCAGAAAAACGGATAAGTGACCTGGAAGACAGAATGGTGGAATTCACTGCTGCGGAACAGAATATAGAAAAAAGAATGAAAAGAAATGAAGACAGTCTAAGAGACCTCTGGGACAACATTAAACGCAACAACATTCACATTATAGGGGTCCCAAAAGGAGAAGAGAGAGAGAAAGGACCTGAGAAAATACTTGAAGAGATTATAGTTCAAAACTTCCCTAACATGGGAAAGGAAATAGCCACCCAGTCCAGGAAGCACAGAGAGTCCATACAGGATAAACCCAAGGAGAAACACGCCAAGACACATAGTAATCAAATTGGCAAAAATTAAAGACAAAGAAAAATTATTTCAAGCAGCAAGGGAAAAAATGACAAATAACATACAAGGGAACTGCCATAAGGTTAACAGGTGATTTCTCAGCAGAAACTCTACAAGCCAGAAGGGAGTGGCATGATATACTTAAAGTGATGAAAGGGAAGAACCTACAACCAAGATTACTCTACCCGGAAAGGATCTCATTCAGATTTGAAGGAGAAATCAAAAGCTTTACAGACAAGCAAACACTAAGAGAATTCAGCACCACCAAACCAGCTCTACAACAAATGCTAAAGGAACGTCTCTAAGTGGGAAACACAAGAGAAGAAAAGGACCTACAAAAACAAACCCAAAACAATTAAGAAAATGGTCATAGGAACATACATATCGATAATTACCTTAAACATGAATGGATTAAATCCTCCAACCAAAAGACACAGGCTCGCTGAATGGATACAAAAACAAGACCCACATATATGCTGTCTACAAGAGACCCACTTCAGACCCAGGGACACATACAGACTGAAAGTGAGGGGATGGAAAAAGATATTCCATGCAAATGGAAATCAAAAGAAAGCTGGAGTAGCAATACTCATATCAGGTAAAATAGACTTTAAAATAAAGAATGTTGCAAGAGACAAGGAAGGACATTACATAATGATCAATCCAGGAAGAAGATATAAGAATTATAAATATATATGCACCCAACATAGGAGCACCTCAATACATAAGGCAACTGCTAACAGCTATAAAAGAGGAAATCAACAGTAACACAATAATAGTGGGGGACTTTTAACACCTCACTTACACCAATGGACAGATCATCCAGACAGAAAATAAATAGAGAACCACAAGCTTTAAATGACACAATAGACCAGACAGATTTAACTGATATTTATAGGACATTCCATCCAAAAACAGCAGATTACACTTTCTTCTCAATTGCGCACGGAACATTCTCCAGGATAGATCGCATCTTGGGTCACAAATCAAGCCTCAGTAAATTTAAGAAAATTGAAATCATATTAAGCATCTTTTCCGACCATAACGCTATGGGATTAGAAATCAATTACAGGGAAAAAAACGTAAAAAACACAAACACATGGAGGCTAAACAATACACTACTAAATAACCAAGAGATCACTGAAGAAATTAAAGAGGAAATCAAAAAATACCTAGAGACAAATGACAATGAAAACACAATGATCTAAAACCTAGGGGATGCAGCAAAAGCAGTTCTAAGAGGGAAGTTTACAGCAATACAATCCTACCTCAAGAAACAACAAACAGCTCAAATAAACAACCTAACCTTACACCTAAAGGAAGTAGAGAAAGAAGAACAAACAAAACCCAAAGTTAGTAGAAGGAAAGAAATCATAAAGGTCAGATCAGAAATAAATGAAATACAAACAAAGAAGACAATAGCAAAGATCAATAAAACTAAAAGCTGGTTCTTTGAGAAGATAAACAAAATTGATAAACCTTTAGCCAGACTCATCAAGAAAAAGAGGGAGAGAACTCAGATCAATAAAATTAGAGATGAAAAAGGAGAAGTTACAATGGACACCATAGAAATACAAAGGATCATGAGAGATTACTACAAGCAACTCTATGGAAATAAAATGGATAACCTGGAAGAAATGGACAAATTCTTAGAAAGGTATAACCTTCCAAGACTGAACCAGGAAGAAATAAAAAATATGAACAGACCAATCACAAGTAATGAAATTGAAACTGTGATTAAAAATCTTCCAACAAACAAAAGTCCAGGACCAGATGGCTTCACAGGTGAAATCTATCAAACAATTAGAGAAGAGCTAACAATCATCCTTCTCAAACTCTTCCAAAAAATTGTAGAGGAAGGAACACTCCCAAACTCATTCTACGAGGCCACCATCACCTGGATACCAAAGCCAAACAAAGATACTACAAAAAAAGAAAATTACAGACCAATATCACTGATGAATATAGATGCAAAAATCCTCAACAAAATACTAGCAAACAGAATCCAACAACACATTAAAAGGATCAGACACCATGATCAAGTGGGTTTTATCCCAGGGATGCAAGGATTCTTCAATATACACAAATCAATCAATGTGATACACCATATTAACAAATTGAA